GGGGGCCGGGCGCAGCCCCCGAGGCCGGGCGGAAGAAGCCGAGACACGCCCTCCTTCCGCCGGGTGCTTCCGCCCGGTCTGGCCGCCGGTGCGCCGTGGGCTCGCGCGGGGATGCTGGGCGCTGCCGAGCTGCCGCCGGGGGAAGGTGCGTGCGCGGCCGCGGGCTTAAGGGGGGCGGGGTCAGAGCGGCCGTTGGCGCCGGGCCGCGCGTCACGTGTCCGCCCCTGGGCTGCCGCTCCGCCTCCTGCTTCCTGCCCCAGCGCCTCGTCCGGTCTGCTGCTCTGCTTCCTGCCCGAGCTTTCTGCTCCCTAGCGCAGCTACTGCTGTGTTGTGTGCTCCCTGCCCCGGGCGTCTTGCCTGATCTGCTGCTCTGCTTTCTGCTCCTTACTACAACTAGTGCTTTGGTTTCTGCCTGGTCTGCCGCTCAGCTTCCTGCTCTCTGCCCCAATTCCCTGGCTCATCTGTGCCTTCTCTTCCCTGCCTGATGTGCTGCTCTGCTTTGTGCTCCCTGCCTGTTCTACTTGCTTCTTTCTGACCGTGCTCCCTACCAGAGCTATTGCTCTGCTTTCTGCTCCCTGCCTTGTGCTGTGAGATCTGCTGCTCTGCTTTCTGCTCCCTGCCCTGTGCTCCTTGCGAGACTTGCTGCTGTGTCTTCTGCTTCCTGCCCCTTCTGCTGTGACTCTGGCCAGGGGATGAAACTTGCCAAGCAGATTAAAATGATGGAGATGCTTTAAGGTACTTATTTGGTTTGCTCCTGGTAGCGTTCGTGTTAAACCCATAAAGCAATCGAATGAGGCAGGTCTTCATCCAGCAGCAAAAGTTAAGTCTGCCTTTGTAAAGCGAAGGCTGGATGTATTTCAGGTAACTGAGACATTAACTGCCCCCCCCCCCCCCAAGCTGCAGGGGGGCTGCCCTGACTTCCAGTGGGGCTCTGATTGGATCAAGGAGGCCCAGACCAAGGTCTGGGCTTAAATTAGTACCTTGTTCATCTCCTACAGTTGCTAATTTCTGACAATGAAAAGTTCCTATGTGAGCTCAAATACTACCTGAGAATGGCGGTAACTTCAATAATGAATTAGCATGGTTTTCTTACGGAGCTTTGTTAGGATGGTAGGAGCTGTTCACAAGTTCATTCAGCTTGATGAACTATAACACTAAAGATCTTTACAGTTGTGGGAATATAAAGTAAAGCCAGTACAGTGACCAAACATTACACAGGATGAGTCTGGGTTGTACATATTATTACCCAGCTAAAGGCTTGTCAGTAATAGAGCTCATGGATCCTTTTTTCTCAGCCTTCTCCTAAGATGAATTAAAGCCTTCCATTTATGAGACTGTCTAGCAGGTCTAGCAGGTTTCTTCCCATTTGGTTTCATAAATACAGGTGTATCTTGATTCTGGAAGCATTCTGCATCGTTCTTGCCTTATCGTAGGGGCAGATTTGTAAGGTGTAGGTTAGCATATTTGTTTATCCATACTTTATAGGAGTTTACTATATTATGTGCACAGCCTGGGACTGAAAAGACAAAAAAGTATTCAGTTGCCTGACCTGAATTTAATCAGTTGTGGTTCTGACGGCAGAGTTTTAATTTGAAGTTTGTATATTGCATGGGAATCATCAAAATGAAGTGTCAGCATAAAGAGTAATGATGTAAGTTAGTGCCTGGGTCCAGAACAGAAGGAAGTAGAACAAATAGCGAGAGACAGGGGAAGCTGAAATGGAGAAGGGAAGGGAAGAAGGAAAGCAAGGTAGTGTGGATGTGGGTCATATACTGTAGCACTTCTCAGTATTCATTGTCAGCAGGGGTTTTTCCTGAGTTGGAAGCAAATGGTTTGGCTGCAGAAGAATAACTGGTGAAGAAAGGTTGAGACATGACACAAGAATAGTGTTTAAGCAGAATGGTTGTTCTCTCTTTAGCATCTGCTGCTGCTACTTCTCTTTGCAACCACCTCCCTCTTTCCTGTCACTTGTCTTTTGCATTCTGATCTTCTCTGTATTCATTGATTTGTTACTTCATTTGTATATCATCTCCTTAAAGCAAAAGTCTTTGCTAGAAATGTTCATTGTTAATCCAGCACAGAACAAGCATTACCAAAACACAGGTGCTGCCTGGAAGTGTAACCATCATATCATGGTGATTGCGTCATTTGGACCTAGGATGAAGAGACTTTAAGTGTGTAAGCTGGGGACTGAGCTTGGATAGTCAGAGCCTTGCAAGGGACTTCCAGTGGGAGGAGGACCCAGTGTTTGTTGTCAAGATACTGATGCCTAAAAGTCTCTTCAGTGTGTCCCTGGCATAGAGGGAGCATGGGCCAGATTCTGTTCCACGGCATGTTGGGAGTTCAGGTGCCTAAACATGATTCTGTTTCACCCTGTTTGAGTCCCTGAAAGTGAACAACTGTTCACGCCATCATCTGACCCTTAAGATTGATCACAAAAAAGCAAGGAGGAGAAGGACCCACCTGCTTCCAGTAATAACAGCCTTTTCAGGTATTCAGGTGGGGTGGAATAGGATCAGATTTCAGTGCCTAAGGGCCTTGTTACATTCCTGGAGCTCTTAATACTTGACTGTCTCCAGGTTAACACCCAAAACTAGTTTTAAGTATTTCTGAAGTGTGTCACAGAGTTGCACCGTTCCAGGGCAGAATTGTTTCTGATGGGGCTCACTGCTCCCACCCAACTCCCCCACTGAGTCTGGCCCAAAGTGCGGCAGTGGTGGTGAGGGCAGCTGGATAGGCAGGTTAACCCTTTCCTGCCTGCCTGCTCCCCTGGGACAGACAACGCAGGCAGCCACAAGTGGGATTGGGAGAGAACTGAGAGCTCCAGAGAGCAGGGGCAGGGGGGAAGCCCAGAATGGGAGGGAGGGGACTTCTTACCTTTCAGCCCTCCTGGCCTCTGCTATTATGAAGTCATTACTCCAAACTCAGGTTAAATTCATAGATTGTTAGAACTAGAAGGGACCTTGCAGATCATTGGGTCTAGACTCCCCCGCTAGCACTTGCACTGATCAACATTTGTACATCTCGGTGTAAAGTGTCCTGAGTCTGGTTTGGTGACTGGAACAGGTTCTGGCCCATGGTTCCTCAAATGCTGTTACGTGGGAGTGGAGAGGCCGTGCACCAAGACATTTTAAAGGCTCCTCAGGGTTCTGGTCAACCCTTTTAGCATCGATGCCTTGAGAGAGAAACAGTAAAAACTTCCTGCTCCTGTCTGCTTGCTCAGCTCCAGTCTCCCTTTGCACCTCTTTTGTGGATCATCTGCGTACAGACCACTTCTTTCCCACTCTCAGTCCAGGCCACTTCCTTTAGGTCCTATCACATCCACTCCTTTCCTATCAAGCACATCCCTCTCTGTTTTCATCATTACCTTATGATTTTTTGTATCGTAGTAATACATAGTAATACATTTCCAACCCATTTGTGTTAACCACATTGCTCCTTTACAGCTCCCACTTTCCCAGCATGCCTGTTTCCCCTGATTTTTGTCATGGATTTTCCCCGCGTTGTGTGCAGTGCTTCCAGCAGTGATGCTCAGGTATTCCCTTTTCCTGCCCATCCTCCCCTACCATGTTTAGCTTTCAATATTTCGATCAGTGGTTTTCAGACTCCAAAAATGTCAGCTCAGACTCCAGCTCTTAGCTTTCACTCCTTTCTTGGCTACAGAAAAATAATACAGCAGTTCTTGTGCTGGGAAGACCTCAGGCCACAACAGCTCAGAAATGGTTTTTACACTATGGATTCCTTTTTGAAATTCCTGGGTTTAATCCTCTGTAGGTGTTTTCATACCTAATATTGCACGGCATTCTTAAAAGGATCTGATGGCACCCTGGCTGAGAATTGCTGATTTAAATCGACCAATTCTGATATGTATGGAGGCTGGGAAGGAAATAGGATGGACTTGGTAAATGGAAGGAATATACCGGCTGGTAGTTTGAGGTCAAATGTGGCTACGTGGATCCTGGGTGGCAGAAGGGAGTTACTAAAGTAGAGTGGGTGTGTTGTTGAAAGCAGGTTTGACATATCCCACAGACAAAATGAGTTGTACATAATTCATTATAATTTTCAGAATATGCTTGTTCGTTTCTGACCTACTTCGTCTTGTTTTGATTGTAGCAAGATGGTGCCAGTATTAGCCCTTTTGACCCAAATCATTATCCAGAATAATTTAGGATCCTTTAGAGATTGTTCCAGGTGGAAAAAGAAATTGGGACTAGAAGTGGGTATTTCTTTGTTTCAGTCTTAAGTATTTACAAATTGTGTAAAGAGCCTTTTTTTCCCCTAATCACAGCAGGAATCAAACAACAAGCAGCTAGAGACTTTGCACTCATTCACGGTTTCAGTTTCAAGCTCTGTTCCTGTCCTGATTTCAATATAAAGCTTTGTTTTAGCTATTTCCAGGGGTTTAAACTGTTTCCAGTTCTTATTTTGAGTATGCCTTTGTTTTCAGTGAGGTTTAATCAAACCTAGAACAATACCTTTCATTCCTCTCCTTCTCCCCCTTCCCTTCAACAGCCTGCGGCTGGGTTTGACAATCAGCTGATTGTCGGCCCTGGCTACACTGTTAATGTTATGGCTGGTTTTTATGGTGCCTTAAAAATGTTTTCCATTATGTATGGAACATTTTATGGTTCTTATTCCAGTTTATGGCACCTTAAATAGGGTGCAGGTGCACATATTAATATGTTAATCATGGTATAAATGTAAGATAACATGAACAAGGGGCGACAGACTACCCATTTTGTTTGAATGGAGAACTCAGTCATTCTCTAGCCTTAGTTTCTACCTATATTCCCAATTTTGTGGAACAGCCATGTTGAAATCCTGTCTCCTTGGTGCCTTTTCAGATGCATGTAACTCATCTGGGAAGAATTTGTTAGTTAGAACTTAACCAACATGATATCAGAATCATTACTATTTCATAACTAGACTAAAATGGAAACGGTGGGCCTGATCTTCATAGAATCATAGACGTAGGGTCGGAAGGGACCTTGTAGATCTTCAAGTCTGACCCCCCGCCTGAGCAGGAGAAAAACTGGGCTCAGATGACTCCAGCCAGGTAGGCATGAAGCCTCTTCTTAAAGACCCCCAGGGTAGGAGCCAGCACCACTTCCCTTGGAAGTTGGTTCCAGATCCTAGCTGCTCTGACTGTGAAGTGGTTTTTACGGATGTCTAATCTAAACCTACTCGCCAACAACTTGTGGCCGTTATTCCTTGTTATGCCAGGG